GCACATGGAGTTCAATTGGGGAATATTGTCTCTTAATATTAAGTCTTTTGGCCCATGAATAAAGGGTATTACTTATCTTCTTGTTTGATTTCTTTTTCTTTTTGTTTTTAGAGATTGAGCCCAGGTGTGCTTTACCACTGAGCTAAATTCACAGCCCTTTTTACTTTTCATTTTAAGACTAACTTACTCAGGGCCTTGCTAAGTTGCCGAGGCTGGTTTTGAACTTGCAGTCCCCACCCCCACTCCCACCCCACCCTTGTCACTGGAATTACAGATATGCATTACCACCCCTGGCTTTAGGTCCTCTTTAATTTCCTTCAACAATGCTTTATGGTTTTCAGAGTATACATTTAGCATTCTTTTGTTAAACTTTACCTAAATATTTTATTCTTTTTCATAGTGTTGTGAATGCAATTATTTTATTAATTTAAGGTTTGATTTTTTTCATTGCTGGCATGTAGAAATATAATAGAGGTTTGTACATTGATCTTGTATCCTGCAAACGTATTATACTTGTTTATTTGTTCCAATTTTTTTTTTTTAAAAAGTGGATTTCTTGAAGCTGGGGTTGTGGCTCAGAGGTAGAGCTCTTGCCTAGCATGCATGAGGCACTGGGTTCAATCCTCAGCACCACATAAAAATAAAAGAAAGGTATCATGTCTACCTATAACTAAAAAATAAATATTAAAATAGTGGATTTCTTAAGAATTTCTATATACAAGATCATATCATAACAGGGGTGATGGCGTCTCATTGAGGGATTCCTCTTCCTGCCAAGGAGGGTGTAAGCCACCTGGAAACTTAAAGTCTAAATTAATTAGTGAAGAACAAAACACAAATAATCAGAAATATATTTACATAAAGCAGAGCCCCTGATAGATCTAGTCCACATAGATGCTGGAATTAGACAAAGGAAAGATGGCTCTGGTGGTTTATTTAAGGGGGTACATCAAAGGCAGGGATAAGGTTTCAAGGGCAGAGTCTTGCTTAATGATTTCTTGTAGTCAGCAGGTGGATTGACATTTTGGCAGGTCACATGCAGCTTAGGTGCTGTGTGGGATCTTGGCAGAGCTTGAGTGGGGGGAGAGTTCACCTGCACTGGGCAGACGGTCCCTGTAGCAGGTACCACGGAAAGTTCCCTATGCCAGACTTATCCCCTCACTAAGCTATGATACGCAACACAGTCCACACACAAGCCACGGACAGCTTGTGACAATATCATCTGCAAATAAAGACAATTATGCTTTTTCCTTTCCAATCTAAATGCTTTTTATTTATTTCATTTTCCTGCCTACATTCCCTGGCTAGAACTTTGATACTATGTCTAATAAAAGTCGCAGAAGCAAATCAGTCAATCAGTCACGTCTTGTTGCTGATCTTAGCAGGAAAGGGTTCAGTCTTTTTCACCATTGTTTCATTATGGTTGTATCTGGAATGTCCCCCAGCCTAGTCCCCAATACATCAATGTCCAGAGATGAAGCTTTGGAAAAGTGACGGGAATCATGAGGCCCCTGACCTCATCAATAGAGTAGTCCAGCCACACACGGGGGCTCACATCTGTAGGGCTCACACCTGTAATCTAGTGGCTTGGGAGGCTGAGACAGGAGGATTGTGAGTTCAAAGCCAGCCACTGCAATTTAGGAAGCCCTAAGCAACTTAGCAACTTTTTACCAAAAGTAAAAAGGACTGGGGATGTGGCTTAGTGGTTAAGTGTCCTTGAGTTCTGTCCCCAGTACCAAAAAAAAAAAAAAAGAGTAGTCTATTGACTGGTTCATAATTGAATGGACTATTAGGAGATGATGGAAACTGTAGGGGGTGGGGCCTAGTTAGAGGAAGTAGGTCACTGGAAGTGTACCCTGGAAGGGTATATCTTGCGCCTTTGCTTTCTTGCTGCCATGAGGTAAGCAGCTCTGGTCCGCCACGCCTTCTCTACCATGATGTTCTGCCTTACTATGGGCCCATAACAATGGAGCCAGCCAACCAGGGGCTGAACCTCTGAAATCATGTGCCACAATAAATATTTCCTCCTCCAAGTTGATTTTCTCACATAATTTGTCAACAGCGATGGAAAGCTGACTTACAGAAGTGTGATGTTATCTATGGTTATTTCATAGATGCCTTCAATCAGTGTAAGGAAATTTCCTTTTATTCCTACATTGTTGACCTTTTTTTTTTTCCTAGAAGGCACATTGAATTTTGTCAAATGCTTTTCCTGCATGTGTTGAGGAATCATGTCGTTTTATATTCTATTAAAACAGTGTATTTTTTAAAATATCTTTGTTTTATTTATTTATTTTTGTATGTAGTGCTAAGGATTGAATTCAGTGCCTCACGCATGAGAGGCAAGCACTCAACCACTGAGCTACAACCCCAGCTCAAAACAGTGTATTTTTCTCTTTTTTTCCTTTTTTTTTTATTAGTTACACATGACAGTACAATGATGTGTATTTTTCTTATTGATTCTTGGATGTTAAATCAACATTACATCCCTAGGAAAAATCCCACTTCATCTTGCTGTCTAATCCCTTTTATGTTACTGGATTCAGTTTGCTAGTATTTTGTTCTGTATTCCTAATTGATAATCAGCATGTATTTTTCAGTTCCTGTAATATCTTTGTCTGGTTTGGGTATCTGAGTAATACTAGGATCTCAGAATGAGTTGGGAAGGTTTTAAATATTTTACTACAAAGAAAGGATAACTATGTGAGATGATTTATATTTAGCCTGATTTAATCATCCTCCAATGCATAATGTATCATAGTATCACAATGTCCCAAAAATATATACAATTATTATTTTTAATTTTAAAAACAGAATCATGTATTGATTCAAAATTCACATACAAGAAAACTCATCCTTTTAAATCGTTACAAAATTAAATTCATGGAAGTTGATAGTTGAAGAACAGCTTTGATTTCTTTTCCTATAGAAGTCCTAATGTTAATTGCAATTATCTTTTCTTGGTCTTTCACAAAAACTCTATTGGCCCACAATACATGTAAATATGTTTATTTAAAAGGCAAACAGGGCAGTTCCCAGCAACTTGGGAGCCTGAGACTGGATCCCCAAGTTTGAGGCCAGTCTCAGCAACATAGCAAGGCCCTGTCTCAAAATTAAAGAAAGAACTAGGGAGGTGATTTGGTGATAGAGCACTTCCCTGGTGTGTGGCAGGGCAGGGGGCAGGGGGATAAAGAAGAGGAAGATGATAGGAAAAAAATAAGGTGGCTCTTTTAGTGATAGATGATTACCATTAACTCAGCAAATCTCTCTTGGATAAGTTCTTCACAAATGGAGATTAAAATAATGACACCTAAAATGTATAGTCATTTTAAAGCTTTCAAGTGTTTTACATTTATTAATTCTAAGCACAGTGAATCTTAAATAGTTTAAGTGCCTGCTCTCTTTGAAATCCAAATACATTAAGGTACTACAGTTCTTAATAACTGAAGGAAAATATAATGCTGGAGTTCTATAAAAATTATCTGTGATAATTCAGTAATCATGTTTTGGTCAGATCCACCTGAATTGTCTGGAGCAAAAGAGTGGAATATGTGTGTGTGTGTGTGTATGTGTGTGTGTAGATATATAGATATACAATACATATATGTAGTGTATATATATATATATATATATATATATACACATGTATGTATATGTAAATTTTGAATATCACAGCCTGTGCAGTTGTGTGTGTATACCACTCTCTATTCAATATATACATACATATATGTATTTATATTCATATAAAATTTATACCACAGCAGGTGTGGTGGTGCACGCCTATAATCCCAGCTATTCAGGAGACTGAGRCAGAAGGATCACAAGTTTGAGGCCAGCCTGGGCAATTTAGTGAGATTGGGAGCTGGTGCTATAGCTTAGTGGTAGAGTGCTTGCCTAGCATGCATGAGGCTAGGTTTAATCCTAAACACTACATTAAAATAAATAAAATAAAGGCATTCTGTCCATCTACAACTATAAAAAAATTTTAAAGGGGGTGCTTGGGGTGTGCTTAACATACGAGACCTTGGGTTCAATCCCCTGTAGCACTAAAAAAAAAAAAAAAAAAAAAAAAAGCCAAGGCTTCTGCTCTCTATCCAGTTGATTTCATCAGAAATAAATTGGGTGAGGAAAGCAATACTGTATATGGAACATCCCCACATGAAACTATGTTCTATGTGATGTTTTCTGAAGGTGCTATCATGAAGAGAATGGTAGACTTATCCTTTTAGACTTAGAACATATATATGTTAAATATGAACTAGCAGAGCATGGCTTGAGAACCATTTCAAACCCATTACCTCATTTATCATAATACTTTGTCTCAAAATAAATTTGAGGCACATTCAGTAATTTTGGGGGTGCAGGGTACCAGGGATTGAATTCAGGGACACTTGAACTACTGAGCCACATCCCCAGCCCTATTTTGTGTTTTATTTAGAGACAGGGTCTCACTGAGTTGCTTTCAAAATCCTCCTGTCTTGGTCTCCTGAGCTCCTGGGATTATAGGCTTGCACCACTGCACCTGGCATTCAGTACATTGTGTTTTGATCAATTTTTATTTTATAAAAGGTTTTGTTCTATTGAGAGATTTGGGGAAATGGTTTTATCTATAATCATGTACACTACTCAAATAATGTTTAGACTTTTCCAAGGAAACCTATTTGATTTTCAAGGGAAAAAAGAACAAAACACTCCTGAAACCCATTTTCACTGGGATTGTACATAATGCCCATAATAGAATATTCGGAAGATTTTCTATCTCCTTTATGAAAAATTCAAATGGCTTGACTTTTATCAATACCATATTATGAATTATGTACTTTTGGGTTGACTTTCCCAGAACTGCTGAATAAGAAAAGATGCTCCAATTTAATTTGAAATAACGGGAACATTGACTGTGCTGCAGTTATTTTAAATATGCACAGGCCCCACTGTGAATGGACTAAGCTCCTCCGTGGCACTGCATTGAAGGCACTCAGAGACTTTCTTTTTCATTGCAGGTAGAGCGTGAAAAGGCCATTCTTCTGGCCAATCTCCAGGAGTCACAGACACAGCTGGAACACACCAAGGGGGCGCTGACGGAGCAGCATGAGCGGGTGCACCGGCTCACAGAGCACGTCAACGCCATGAGGGGCTTGCAGAGCAGCAAGGAGCTCAAGTCTGAGCTGGATGGGGAGAAGGGCCGGGACTCAGGGGAGGAGGCCCATGACTATGAGGTGGACATCAACGGCTTAGAGATCCTCGAATGCAAATACAGAGTGGCAGTAACGGAGGTGATTGACTTGAAAGCAGAAATTAAGGCCTTAAAGGAGAAATATAATAAATCTGTAGAAAACTATACAGAAGAGAAGGCCAAGTATGAGAGTAAGATCCAAATGTATGATGAGCAGGTGACAAGCCTTGAGAAGAACACCAAGGAGAGTGGCGAGAAGATGGCCCACATGGAGAAGGAGTTGCAAAAGATGACCAGCATAGCCAATGAAAATCACAATACCCTTAATACAGCGCAGGATGAGCTAGTGACATTTAGTGAGGAGCTAGCCCAGCTTTACCACCATGTCTGTCTGTGTAATAATGAAACTCCCAACAGGGTCATGCTGGACTACTATAGGCAAAGCAGAGTTACCCGCAGTGGCAGCCTGAAAGGGCCTGATGATCCCAGGGGACTTTTGTCTCCACGATTGGCCAGACGGGGTGTGTCGTCCCCAGTAGAAACAAGGACCTCATCTGAACCCATTTCAAAAGAAAACACTGAGGCCAGTAAAGAACCAAGTCCAACTAAGACCCCCACCATCTCTCCTGTTATTACTGCCCCACCATCATCTCCGGTATTGGATACAAGTGATATCCGCAAAGAGCCAATGAATATCTACAACCTTAACGCCATAATCCGGGACCAAATCAAGCATCTGCAGAAAGCAGTGGACCGGTCCTTGCAACTGTCTCGTCAGAGAGCAGCGGCTCGGGAGTTGGCCCCCATGATTGATAAGGACAAGGAAGCCTTAATGGAAGAGATCCTCAAGCTCAAGTCCCTGCTGAGCACCAAACGGGAACAGATTGCCACGCTGAGGGCAGTGTTGAAAGCCAACAAACAGGTAATCTCCTTCCACTGGTGAAAGCATGCTAGTTGAAAACCTTCTTAACCAATTTCCTCCCGAATGTTGTTGAGTTTCCAGGACCATCAAGACAAGGATTCCGATTACTGGTCAGTGGAGCAGTCAGACAAAGTGCGTCCTAGTGCCAAGTCAGAGTGTGATGTTATTTTTAARTAAGTGAATGGATAAAATAGAGAGTAGTTGTGCCCAGCTAGTGGAGGAAGAGATGAGGAAGGTAAAAGTAACAACAGAAGAGAAGACCCAGCTGCAGATACACCACAGCAGTCCTGTGAGTGTGGAAGCAGGGCATAGATAGTGGCAGAAGAGGCCGGCATGGCAGTTTGCGACAACCAGGGAGATACGGCAGGAGAGGCAGATACCTGGTGGGCAGCCAGGTCGTAAGGGTGTCTGGGTGCAGTCATGTATAAAGGAGGTCTGAGAGCCACCAACCTGACCTCAACTTCAGAGACAGAGGTTCCTCAAGGGCATGTAGCAAGGTGGAAAATGGGTGTCTTGTCTTTAATCCTAGGCTTTGAGAAACAAGAGTATTAGATAAATGATCAAGTCATGGACTCAGGGATAAAGAACAAGACAGCAGCAGGCAGATTTTAGCAACAAATAGTTTGGAGCCCACATTAGCAAGCAAACGATACAGAAGGAAATGGTGGTAGCAATGGGAGAGAGGGGAGGGAGGAACTGGGAATGTAGCTCCGTGGTAGGGTGCTTGCCTACCATGCATGGGGCCCTGGGATCAATTTCCAGCACTGTAAAAACATAAATAAAATAAAAATAAAAAAGCTATGGAGAGACAGAGAGAGAGAGAGAGAATGAACTCTAGCTCCATTAGTGACCATATATATAAAACTTAGGTTTAGATGGTGGATTAATTCATGGATCAAAATCACACTACACAAGACTTACATAATCTTTACCACGAGCACAACATCCTGGGGTCATTCTTGGTTGAGTCCTTCAGATAACTTATCTGATTTATTATATAAAGTTTGAATATTAACCAACCTAGAAAACTAGACCAATGAAAATGTCAAAGAGATTTGTCTGAAACAATAAGGTTGGTTGATAAGCCAAGAGAGAACTAATTTTTGAGCCAGTATTCATTGACTTTACAGATAAGGAGATAGTAAGTAGGGATGCAAAAATAAATGACTAATAATCTAGTACAAATTCAACACATGCCTGTAACTACAGGCTAGAACATGTGGAACACTTTATAGTGGTATAAACAGTGCCATAGAAATTAGAGAAGAACAAAGCATGCCTAGCTGAGTTTGATTTTCACAGTGCTATGTGGTACCATTTGCATTACATCAGAGTCACAGCCTGTGTAGGCTCAGTAAATCCAATGAAAACACATTTCTAGCCCATTAAAACAATAGTGGCTTACCATGATGCTTATGTTCAAGTATCAACAGATAACATCATCATATTTAGACATTGTGAAATGTTAATTATTGAGACTAAGGTGAGAATTCCGTGGTTTAGGGGAAAAAGGAAATCATCTTATTTTGAGGTAGGCGTTCTGTATTCTCAGTGAAAATTTTTTTTTCTTTAGAGGTGCTGGGAATCAAATCCAGGGCCTTGCACATGCTAGGCAAGTGCCCTACCACCAAGCTACATCCCAGCCCATCTATGAATCTTTTATTATACTTTAAGATTTCTTTTTCAGAGGCACGGTGTCTTCTGACAGAATAATTTAGTTATGAAGCATCATTTATGTACTAGCCTGTTTTAGATGTGAACATTCAAATAACACTAATATATGGTCTCTGCTTGCCAGAAGAGGACTCACAGCCCCCTGGGAATGGCAGAATATAACAGATAATTATAGTTTGATGTTATATGTGCTGTAATCCAAGTTATGGGAACATGGCAGAGGAAGTCAACAATGTTTCTTAAGAGGAGTTGGAAAGGACTTCACAGAACAATTCTTGAGGTTTTCTTTCTTTTGTTCTTAAAGGATAAGAAATTGTTTTCCCAGGGGAAGAGGAAATAATTCCAGACAAACGAACATTAGGTACAGTGGGACAAGTGACAAAACAGGATAATGTATTGAGGGAATGTTTATGATGGTCTCTGTGAATAAGAATTTCTTTTTTTTTACAAAGTTAACTTTGAAGTATGGGAAGAAAGTGAATGTAGATATCAACAAATCTACTAATGGGGTTTTGATGGTCTAAATTAATTCTGAAAAAGTTTTGCATAGTCTATGGGAAACAAATCTGCAAATAAAACAGCCTTTGGGGGCATTTCTTACAAATAATAAATGAGTTCTTTCTTCTGTTTCAGATCCAGCGGCCTGTCATCCCCCTTGCTTCTCCCCTTAGAAACTGACCATGTGACTCTATGTGCTTACAAATTCCTTACACCTACATTCGCATGACTTAAATTTAATCACCTGTTTTAAATGAATATGTGTGTAAACTTTTTGAGAAACCAAACAATTGCTTAGAGATGTAGCTCAGTGTTAGAATACTTGCCTAGCACATGTGAGTACTGGATTTGATCCCTAGTACTCAAAAAGAAAGAGAGAAGGGAAAAAAAAAAAAAAAACCTGACATTTTCCGCAGGCCAATTTATTCTGGATAGTTTTCTGAATTTATAATATTTCTGAAAATTCCAATGAATATTAGCTTTACAGAACATACAGAATTGTTATATGAGTAACTTGTCATTTTAATATGAATTTAAATACAGAGTTAAAAACCAGTAAGAAACTAATTTGGAATCAAATACTAATGAAGTACCTCATCCTGATATTAGTTTAATTAAAAATGAATTCATCCATTTCTATCGAAGTTGACACTTTGCGTAAGAAAGTTGAAATTGTGGGCTGGGGATGTGGCTCAAGCGGTGGCGCGCTCGCCTGGCATGCTTGCGGCCCGGGTTCGATCCTCAGCACCACATACCAACAAAGATGTTGTGTCCGCCAAGAACTAAAAAATAAATATTAAAAATTCAAAAAAAAAAAAAAGAAAGTTGAAATTGTGCATTTCAAGCACAGAAATATAATGGTAGTCTCCCTGGGAAATCCCATTAGTAATGGGGTTTCCAGTACTATTGGCTATTTTTTCACACTCTGAAAAGTTGCAGTTTAGAGTCTGTAAAAATAGTGCATTTCCAGTTTGACTTCAAAATGCATGCCATGGGCCACGTGCCATGCTTCCGTTTGACTTCCCAATGCCATGAGCTGTGCATGTCCCTAAACATGCACCAATTTTATGCACTGGATTCAGTCATTGTGTTTTTACTTTCTACTGTGCCAGGCTAGCTCTTGGTTTGAAACACTACTAGTTCTAGAAACTTCAGATAATCCCAAACCCAAACAAATATTTTAACTTCTTCTATATTATGGAGTTTCTGCTTTCTTGGAGATTATGAATAATTTAACTATAACCCACTGGTTCTTCATTATTTCTTTTCCTTAAACATATAAGAACACTGGCTTATAGCTTATCATATACTCATGTTATAAATTACAATGGCCTTTTATTCTGTGTTTTAAGCCCACAGGGAACACAGAGAACACAAAAGTTGAGTCCTAACGTATTTCAGTTGGAAACTGCGCTCCTTTACTAACTCCTTAATAAAAATCCTTCTTATGTAAGGTTTCATTTTGGCTCCCTCCATGTCTGAAATTCCTACACCTTCAACAATATACATGAAGTATTTATTGGAGTACAGCCAATTTCTTAGATCCTGATACTGACTGGCTCATGGTTGGCTTCTAAGGCAATTTAACCACATTATCAATTCACACCAGGTTTTTGGTTTTGTTTTGCTTTTTCTTGTTGTTGTTTTGGTTTATGTGGGGTTTTGTTTGTTTATTTGGGCAGTACTGGGGACTGAACCCAGAGCCGTGTGTGTGTGTGTGTGTGTGTGTGTGTGTGTGTCTGTCTGTCTGTCTGTCTCAAGCACTCTACCCCTGAGCTCCATCCCCAGCCCTCTCACAACTCATTTTGACACTAAAGAAAATCTTTCCTATGTCCAAGGTATGTACATATGCTATGTGAAATCTAACCAAGTCAATTTCACTTTCCATTTATGAGATAATTAATAGACCCAGCATGAATAACTGTGTATGACAGATGTTCCTGGTATGAACAGGGTGAGCATTGTGATTTTTCTGCTTTAGACAGCTGAGGTGGCCCTAGCTAATCTGAAGAACAAATATGAGAATGAAAAAGCAATGGTGACAGAAACCATGACGAAACTGAGGAATGAACTGAAGGCTTTGAAAGAAGATGCAGCYACCTTCTCATCCCTGAGAGCAATGTTTGCAACAAGGTAACTGGGTTTTCTTCCTAAAATTGTGGTCCACGCAAGAAAGACTAGAGCACTCACAAGTGAGTCTCTGTGTATCTTGAGCGTATTAGATTGTGGTCTAGGACAGAGATTCCACTCTGACAAATATAAGGCTCACTTCCAGAGTCCTCTACTGGACACAGTGGATCAAACAATTCTGATACATAAATATTTTTTCCAGCCACTTGGGAGGCCAAGGCAGGAGGATCACTCGAGCCCAGCAACTCAAGACCAGTTTGGACAACACAGCCAGACACTGTCTCAAAATCAAATAACTAAAAATTAATTTAATAATCTTTTTCTATACCTTATATGCTCAAAAGAATTAGATATTGGGCAGAGATGGGAAATACTGGGAAAAGAACCCAGGGCCTCACACATGCTAGGCAAAGACTCTACCATTAAGCTACAGCTTTATCCCATATATTAGATTTTTTAAAAGCTTCCCATAAGGGRAAAAATACTTCTTAAAATAGCTAAATATTATCATCATTGAAATATAGTCCTATGACTAAAGTACATAAAAGTACATTAAGGTGCTTACTGATACTGTCATCATGAAGACTAATATTCATCAAATCAGCTAATATTTACACTTTAATACACTGTGAATTAAGTTATATTTATATTATTTCTAAAATGTAATTGTGTATATCACTGACTTTTTTTGCATTGCCCAACTAATTATACAAGTATTACTTTCTATCTCCCGCACCACACACACATCAGTTTTGTTAAGAGGAAATGCTTTTTTTAAAAAATATGAAATAATTAATGAAGAATATTCTGGAAACTCAGAAAGTGAAGGGTTGTATGTTTTCTCTCATGTGGAAGCTAGAGAGGAAAAAGGAAAAGAAAGGTGGGTGGGGGATCTCATGAAAACTAAAGGGGGAGCTGGGGTTGTGGCTCAGAGGTAACAGCGCTTGCCTAGCATGCATGAGGCACTGGGTTCGATCCTCAGCACCATATAAAAATCAAGTCACTATTGTGATTTTATTCTATATTTCCCTAATGACTAATGATGCGGAGAATCTTTTTATATTCTCATTGGCCTTTTATATATCTTCTTTTAAAAAAGAGAACAACTTTACTGTGATATAATTCACATGCCATATAATTGATCCATTGAAACTATACCATTCCATGGTTTTTAATATAATAATATAATCACAGATGTCACGTTCCATGTGGCAAAAACACTCAGGGTCACTCCAGGGGAACTGGGCTGCACAAAATAACCACACAGGAGACAGAGATACCTTTTCCTTTGGGGGTCCTGTGACAGCTCCTCTGACCTTAAGGGTCCACAGAAAGAGATTGAGCACGTGCTGACCCTTTTATTGGGGAGAAGCCATTCAGTTGAGGCAAGGGGTCAGATTTCAAGGGGCTGAGTCTAGCTTTCTGATGTCTGCTGTCAGCAGGTTGACTGACATCTAGGAAGGCCACACCCAAGGGCAGAGTAAGAAAAGGGGCACACAAAAGGCGTTTCCATGGAACTTTCTATCCCAAACAGGGAGAAGGGTTAATATCACAAAGGAACAGGTGAGTGTAGCTCCACCCATGGGGCTGCAGGAAGACTCGTTTGTTACATTTTTACAACTCTCAAGATCAGGGCCACTGTCTATAGCCACTTTGATGTGGCCAGATCACTGGAAGTGACCAACAGAGCCTCACCAATCAGGAAAGGAAAATGCTGGTCACATGGCGTGGCAGCCTCCCACACACAGAGATGTACAATCATCGCCAGAGACCATTTTCAAACACTTTTATTACCCCAAAAAGAAACCCCATATCTATTAGCATTCACTCCCCCATTCTTCCTAGTGGTGTAACCACCATCTCTTCTCTGACACTCTAGAGTTGCTTCTTCTGGACATTTCATATAAATAAAAAATAATTTAATTGTGAAAAAATAAAGTTATTGTGTCTACCTAAAACTAAAAAATAAATATTAGAAAAAAAACTGAAGGGAGATGAGTAGACTAGCGGAAAGGGATGAGGGAAGGGAAAAGGGAAATACTTGGGAGTGATATTGTCCAAACTATAATGTTATATTGTAGGCGTAGACCAATCTGTAACATGAAGTCCCACCATTATGTCCAACTATAATGTACCTATTTTAAAAACGTGGGGAAAAAAAATAATGTACTAGGCTGGTATGTGGCTCTGGGGTAGGGCACTTGMCTATCATGCCCAAGGGCCTGGGTTCCATCCTCAGTACTGCAATAATGATTATTATTACATGTAATGATTTGAGGGTTTCAAAATCTGGGGGTCCTCAATATACTCTTGAAATACCTTTTTTGTTGTCACAAAGCAGTCTCCTCCCCCCAACAAAAAGCACCAACTATATATATCCTCTTTGATACAAATTTGGTGCAAAATTCACAAAGCATAACTTTGACTTTATTTGCATACTCAGAAAATGATTTACATGTAGCTGATGTAATTTAAAAAAATATCTTGGGCTTATAGGAGTCCCCAGGCTCTGTGCAGCTTGCTTTGTAACTTGGGAAAGAAAAGGCTCAAGGTCATATGTGATTAAATCTCTTGGAAATCACAGTCAGAAGGGACCTGAGGGACCACAGGGGTGGAGAGGAACTGGCTTCTGGGGCCCAGAGCACAGTGGTATTTGGAAAGTAGAAGATGTATACCTCTGACCACTATGAGGTATAGGATAGAGAATGGGAATGGTCCCCTCTCCGATGCAAGAAATCAGGTTTATGTTTAGAATCAAGAGAACATAAATTTGTTCTTTGAGAAGAAATTGAAAACATTTTAAAAGGTCATTTGAAGTCTCCATATATGAGTGAATGGCCTATATCCCCCATTAGTTCATTTTCACAGTCATCTGTTTTTTCAGATACAGTAACTGCCTAACGCTATATGTTTAAAATATTGTTATCCAGCAGTGAAGATTAATCCAGGTCCTGAAATTTGCTTGGTATTTTACTAAAATCTGATTTTTCTTATGATCTACATGTCCCCGCTGATTCCTGACAGTCAATGGTAAAGAGAATGGCACCCCCTTGATTTCAAGTTCTTTTACCACAGAGCCTGTTTTCTTCTTTAAAATACTCCAGGCTTGTGCTAATTTCAAAGTTTGCATAATGCGTCTTGGATAACTCCAAGATGGTTGTTAACCATCTGCTGGTGCATGCACAGTAATTGTTATTAATATCTTAMTGGGTAAATAAAGAGCAGAATCTCAGAATAAGCTTTTTTTCCCACACTGCCTCTTTCTTCCAAATGCATATGGATGGGCTCAGGTTTTGATTTGGTGGGGAAATAAATCACTGAGCTTACCTTCATGCTTAGTGCAAGCATGAACCTGAATGAAGATGTTCCTGACAACTGGCTTTACCTCCATCAAACCTTGTGCAAGTTTTCTTTGACAACTCTCTGCACTCTCATTTGGTAGAGAAATCATTGAAAACACCACTTCCTAATTCAGAGAAATCACCCATATTGAAGACAGTGCCAGCTGCAATCTGTACTAAATTAAAATAAAACCTATAAATAGAGATAAAGAAGCAAATAATTTTCTTCACTAACATTATTATTTTTTCGGATGCCACAGACATAACCCATAACAAACTTGTCATGTTCCTGCAAAGAAGACAAATGTTATACAGCAGAAAGAGCCATTGTAACACATCTAAGGTACTTTGGACACGTGAAACTATACAGTACTACCAAAAAGCAGCCCCCAAAAGAACTCTGTCCTTGAGGTTCATGATGCCTATTTAGAGTGCTCCCATATGTACCCTATTGTGTGGGTTATTGTACACGCTCTATGGTTTCCAGTTTCCTATTACTGTAGGTTATCTCCATTCTGTTGGTGGGAAGACCAGTATTCTATCTAAATTCTAGTCAAATTCATTCCAGCAGTTTTTCCCTTATCCATAAGAGATAGAGTCCAAGACCCCCAGAAACCACTGATCATACTAAACCCTATGTATAGTGTTTTTTTTCCTATACCTGTTACAAGGTTTAAGTTATAAATTAGGCACAATGACAATTAACAATAATAAAATAGAATGATTATAACAATATGCTGTAATAAAAGTTACGTGCCATGTTTTTTTTCCTATACATAATGTACCTGTGATAAAGCTTAAGTTATAAAATAGGCACAGCAAAAAATTAACAATAATAAATAATATAACAATTATAACAGTATAGAGTAATAAATGAGAATGAAATTTTGAGCCAGATGTGGTGGTACTTGCCTGTACTCATAGTGACTCTGGAGGCTGGAGCAAGAGGAGCTCAAGTTTGAGGTCAGCCTCAGCAATTTAGTGAGACCCTGTCTCAAAATAAAAAATGAAAAAGGATTGGGGATATAGTTTGGTGGTAAAGAGTCCCTGGGTCCAATCCCCAGGCCACAAATAAAAATAAGATAAAATAATCTAAGAAAAATCTTTTGAGTCAAGACAAATAAAATGTTGGGACCACAGATGATCTCAGGTTACTGAAACTGTGGGGAAGTGAAATTCTGGTTAAGGTGGGGGGAAGCATTGTACTTTCCAACTTGAGTTCCAGTTCAGTTTCCCCAAGATGTCCCCCTCACCACCTTTCTGTTTGGGTTCCAGATGTGATGAATATGTCACACAGTTGGATGAGATGCAGAGACAGTTAGCAGCCGCAGAGGATGAGAAGAAGACTCTAAACACTTTGTTACGAATGGCTATCCAGCAAAAACTCGCCCTGACCCAGCGGCTGGAGGACTTAGAGTTTGACCATGAGCAGTCCCGTCGCAGCAAAGGCAAACTTGGAAAGAGCAAGATCGGCAGCCCTAAAGTAAGTGGGGAGGCATCAGTCACCGTGCCCACCATAGACACTTACCTCCTGCATAGTCAGGGCCCACAGACACCCACCATTCGGGTCAGCAGTGGCACTCAGAGGAAAAGGTATGCATGCAGCGATCTTCATAGTATGGTGCAGTGGCCAGATTTTAGTTAACTGCAAAAATTAATGTGCTCTTGTTGTGGTGGCTGGAGGAGGGGAAGGAAAAGGAAAAATGGGAGCTGCTATAGATGGGCTTTGCAAATATCGGTCTTCCCAGATCAAAACCTTGTGATAATCGTGCTACTATATTCCTTTCTGCCCCCATCCCCATTGCTTTGACCATAAAATAATTTTCAAAGTGTCTGTTCATATTTTTGCTGCTCTTTGTATGCATATATGCCTCTCCCTTACCTCCAACTGGAAAATTGGTAAAGGTGGATAATGAGAATGAAGCTGTGTTCTACTTGGATTATAAGTCATTGTACCTCTGGAAATGGTGCTATTTACCAGCTTCTCTTTAATGGGGCAAGGATATGAATATGTTCTCTTAAGGGAACTTTTGTCTATATGACCCAAACTGACGACTGAAAGGGCATGCCTGTATTTAGGTAAAAACGGAATGGAATACATATACTCCTTTCCTTTAAAAGCAAGTTTTTATGCTCTTTCAGTTGGCATGTGAATATTTCACAGAGAAACCACTTGTAAGGTTTTTGGTGGCCTGATTTCATGACGTTTTCCCCCCAAGTCCTGGTTATTGAGTTACATACCTGGTGTTGTCTGTTAATATAGTAAAACTTTCTATTTTTAGCTTTCGTTTAAGAATCAAATAATACATATATTTTCTATTTGAGGTTCAAACTGACTAACTGTAATAAATCTCTTTTCCAGTATCCAAAATAGTTTCCAAATAGGGTTGTATTCTGGTGTGGAAACTAAAACAATTAGCAAAAAAAAAAAAAAAAAAAAAAATCTTGATTTACATATTAAAACAATTAAATGCCAATATAAATAATGTTGTCACTGGTGAGGCGTTGAAAGGTAATTAAAGTAAAACTTTTTTGTTTCCTATATGTATTTTTCTTGGATCTCCTGCAAGACAATTTTCACCTTCCCTTTGTGATCAGAGCCGTCCCAGGACTTCAGGGGCTTCCTACCTACAGAATTTATTAAGCGTTCCCCCTGATCCCACCTCCACAGAATCATTTCTTCTGAAGGGCCCCCCTTCCATGAGTGAATTCATCCAAGGGCACCGGCTCAGCAAGGAAAAAAGGTTAACCGTGGCTCCACCAGGTAAACATTTTTTCCTTGGGTGCATGTGATGCAAATGTCTAGTTAAATAGACGACTCTTCCCTTCCTTCCAGCCGCTCAACTCTCTCCCCCATCCACAGAGCCTAACTCTGAGGGACTTTGAGGATGTGTGAATTCCCAGCACTGAAATAAAGATTCCTCTGCACTTAGCTTCCTGTCTCCTCCTTGACCACAGCCAGACATGGTTCCTGAGACGACTCTAGGGACTTCCTTCCAGCAGCCAAGGATAGAAATGAGAGCTGGAAGGAATGGGAGAGGGAAAGGGAAATCAGCCAGCCATGCACAGCAGGGCACACACCTGAATCCTCTCTGCAGTTTGGTAGCTCGTGGTGATTCCATCTGGGTCAGATTTTGAGTTTGGCTCTTACCACGTTTAATGTAATTTCACCCCAGAGCCATGTTTATATTATGGCTTTTGAACCAATTCCTTTTGTAGTGACTCAGAATGTCTCCTCGGTCATTATACAGAAAATTAAAGTGAACTCCATGAAGGCTTTGCTCCTCAGGAACATTTAGGTATTAGTATAAGGTTCTTGCATTTGTAAGCCCTTATGCTCACAATTTAATTTAACATTTATGTTTTTTTTAATCTTTCCTATGAAAAGGCCTAAATCAAAAGCATGATTTATGGCAAATAAAGAAAATGTGACTCTGGCAAATAAAGATCATCCTTTTGCAAAACCCTTGCATGCTCAGTATAAGTTAGAGATGGCCAACAGGAAGCCCATGAAAGAAAATAAGCCCAAGGGCAGCTATTATTTGTCTATTACAGGGAACCAAAAATTAAAACAAATTCAAGTTAGTTGTCAGCAGTTACAAACTCAGGGATTTCATATGAACACCTGTTATTTCTGGCCTCTTTTGAATGATTCTGGATATCTGGCAGCCCTTGGTCTGCATTCATGCATGTCAACAACCTGTTGGAGCTCAGTAGTGGCTGCTGTCGTTAGACAGGGAAAGCCTGGCACTTGGTCACATCACTCCCTATGACCGACACAGCCTGCTCTACTTTTTCTGTTACTTTCTGGTCTCTACTGTAGCTTCTGAGTTTGCCACCCTTGTGAGAGTTTTGTTTGTTTGTCTGTCTGTTTTACCCAATTTACTTCAATTTTACCTTAATTCCTTTTTGGAAACCTCAGCCTTTGGATCTCTAATATTTTTCTTATCTGATTCATTTGATCAGCCTACTGATTGGGATTAAAAGATGTGCTATAATGATTTATATCACATGTTCTACATTCTAGGAATGTTAAGGAAATGTTGAGGAAATCAGTAATGGGGTAACAGCCCAGATGCACAGGTACACACACAAAAGTAATCCTTCCAATGGTTACTTCTACTTTTATAACTCATTTTCTAATTTTTTAGATACTTTTGGAAGGTACCTTGAAGTATTCTGTGAACTACCAAAGGGGTAATGATATGCCAGGGCACCTAACTTGGTTAAAACCCACAAAAGCCTTCTTTTTAGTGTTGCAAATGGATTTAGTAGCACTGTCTACTCAAATTTAGAAAATAAATGGTATGATTAATAAGTAACTCCTGTTGCATTTCACTTTAAAAGGTGGTGTAGCAATAAGATTAAAAATTAATAAAATCTAACAGTAGCTATTTTCATTTTTGTATGACTGCTTGGTTCTTGTGTACATGAATATATATTTTACATCATTATCATTACATTGTGGAAGTCATTTAATATTACATCATTAACATTTCCATGTTGCTACTTGGTCATTGTTATTTTTAAAGTTATTGTATCTTAAATTTTATTTCAGATGTTGTTATTGTATTAGTCACTCCTTCCCCTGGGGTTGTCCACTGGAATGGTATTTCCATTATATGGTATATTATTGAATGCTGCTGGGAATAGCTTCATGCATTCAACAACTCATGTATTCAATTTTTTCTCAGGAGTGAAATCATGGGTTAGAAGTTGAACATTTTTATGGCTTTTGCTACATTTTGATGTTGTCAAAAGGGTATATCAGTGTGCAGACTGCCCCACAAAGCATTTTCCCCTTCTGCTAATCTTTCTCCTACTTTACACACAACTGTAAATATCTTCAGCTCTAAGACCACTTAGCTTATGTGAATTAAAATGCCATTATTTTTCTTAAATTCTTTAGTTTTGAGTAACCAGAAAATGTTATTGGCCTAAGAAATGGTTACTATATATAAGATTATAACTCAGAATCATCACTAGACCAAAAAATCACTTTAATAATAACTTACTAGTAAACTTTATATTTCTAACCATTTATTTGAAGTTAAAATAATAGAAGAGGAAAAGAAGTAAAGCTCTTAAAGCCTGCAGATCTTTCAATTATATATCATGGAATCAATTAGATTAATTCTTAACAAATTATTATTAGATCAATCAACAATATTTTCTAAAAGATCTCGAATAAATCAATTACTATAGAAATTGATTGACACACCAAACAAACTAGCTCCTAAAAATACCAGCATTAYTGATAACATATATTACTTTTCCTAGGCTGAACTACAGTGGGTAAAATATATTGAATGTTGTTTAGAACGCTTTTACTATATAAAATATTTTCATTATGCCAAAAATGGGGAACTATGTCATATTTATAACCAATCCTATGTTCTATGCAAGCAATATCTTAAACCTCTAAGTAATAATAGATTTTGAGATTTTTTTTTATTCATGAGTTTAATATAAATTGTTGATTATTATAAAATTTGCTGGCTGGTATCAACCATTTTTAATGTACAATTCCCTGTTCATTTTTCAGAATGTTTTTGTTAAATATTGTTTTCTAAAATACATATTAAATATATATTTTTAGGCAACTTAAATTATTTAAATGAGCAGATACATCAACATTGTTTTCCTTTTGAGGATCATTGAAATAATTATATCAATAAGTTAATTATATTAGTTTAGTTTGTCTTCTTTTTTTTAAACGTGGAACATAAAATGTTTTTACCCTAAGATATACTTTTAAATAGATTTCATTTCTATGAGGTGACCGACAAAAAACCCAGTCCTCTTTAAAACACAATTTCTCAATTCTGAAGAATCCACTCTAGGGTAGAACATTGATTTACAATATTAGTTTTACACTAATTGATTAGTACATTGTACTAATTGATTTGTTACTTTAATATGACTTTTGGGGGGAAAATTTTGGTCCTTGCCTCTGAATTTGGTTCTGCTGAGTCATCCACTGAAATTCCAGAGTTTTCTGCTCATGACTGTTGACTTATTCTTGCCATTATCCTTATTCTGCCACACAAAATCCCGAGTCCTCCTACTCCTCTTAATTTTTGCAGTTTCAATTACCAGCTCATCTGAGAAGTGCCTTCCAGCGTTGATGAACTTGAATCAAAAGGGACCCTGTTGTCATCAAGAATTTATAATCAGGCAGCAGATTGCATATCTTCATAAACTTGTTGCTATTTTGTAGCCAACATTTCATCTTGATGTTATAACTGCCTAGGCTTATATAATGATAGTAATAATGATAACAACAACAATATCATCTTACCATTTAATCAGTAATTAAAATCTGTCTATCAGAATATGTAAAAGGAATCCATGTAATTCACAGGCAAGAGATGTTCTTTCTGTAGTAAAGATCTGATTGCAGCATTTGTACAAGATAAATAAGAAATTTCAAACCTGAAAAAGCAACTTTGGTGTTTTCTTAAAGTACTATCCTAAATAATT